CTCTCAGAAACTTACAATCATTACAGCTCCTTTGTTAATGTAATGATCTTGATAACCTGGAGCACTGAATAACGTAATTACTTTTCGATCAGGGGAGATCTCAAATCCTTCATCCACTGCCTGAATTTTCCACTTCATTGAAAGTATAGGCTGAAATAACCCTGTCTCCGGCGGCCAGGTGCGCGTCGAGTGCAGACCACACACCACAAGTGACGACGGCCTCCAAAAATTGTTTTCTGCCAATGAAATGATTAGCCGGTTGCAGTTGTATTCTATCAGTTGTCACTAATTACAACTATCATTTACCAACTATCAGCTATCACTATGAACCACTACTAACAGATTACTTGGAGGCCGTCGTCACTTGTGGTGTGTGGTCTGCACTCGACGTGCATCTGGCCTCGGAAACATAATGTTATACGTTTGGATCAAACCTGATGTCCACGAACTATCATGAGAATGCCCATTTTTTGACAACGATCAGCCACCACGTCACTTCCAAATACTGAAAATGACTGCTATCGATAAATAACTAAAAGCTTCAGTATGATTTCGTATGTTACCGTAAGAACAACCGCGATCTACATTACTTCTAAATCCAGTGCACGTTGGAGAAGGATCAGCCCACAGGAGATCCTCAACAAGGCCGGAAGGCTCTACTGTGCCTCTAAAACTTGCATTCAGAACTGAGGAAATCGATTCGTAAATACAACTGATGAATGGTGAAATTTGTATATCATTTCCAAATTTTTACACTCATTTCCCCTTCTGCTTTAAGGTGGGTGCTTGTGGCTTCAGAAAAAGGGTGCCCGGGGAATTGTGCATGATCACTGCTACGCAGTGAACTGCTTTACTGGTAGGGTCAGATCTCTAGCCAAATTCAAGATTTTTGCCTTCCTCAGTGGCGCAGTAACGGCTGACAGCCCTACACTCAACATATCAACCGTGAGACGAAGTTTTCGGTAGAATTATTACTGACAGAAACATGCCTTTTAATCTTTCGAATATCATCAATTGTTTGTAATTTTGGAGAAAGTCCTCCATGTAAGCAAAGAATTTTCTCACAAAGCAATGCCGCAAGAGGAAGCTGCCTAAAATGAAATAGTTTCTTTCATATGTAAAGAGCCCCGAAAGACGCTGTGATGATGTCTCGAGAGCGAAAAAAGTTAGGTCACGATTAATCGGGGAACAGAAAAGCTTAGAATGCTCACACGCGAACGCAACTTTCTTTGAATGTTCTTTTTTTTATTTCTTTCATTGGCTCCGCACTATTTATCCTTCTGCTTCACATTAGCTCTCCCTTAATCGCCCCCCTCTCTCGATCAAGCAAGTTTCTAGCAGGTTTTGTCTCCTATGACAAATTTCATAAAAATCTAGGTAAATAAAAAAGGCAGCCAAATAGTCCCATTAGCGCCATTTCACATTTCTCATTTCAGAGCTGTTAGGCAGATTCACCATCGAGAACCGAGACCGTGACTTTGTGTTCTTTTCCAGGTATGAACCCAAAAAATGTTTCTGGAAAGTTGCTATTCTAAGCGTAGTCGCTCCCTTTCTATGTCTCCTTTTTTAAATCCAAGTTGAAATTCGGAGCCATCAGGTCATCGTTTTCAGCGGTACATTGAGCCATTCTAGTAACTAACGAGTAAACTCTGGCGGCAGCATCAAGAAGATTGTCACATTCATTTCCTTCCGAGTAGCGCATCCGTAAATCGGCATAGAATCCATATGTTCTGAAATACGAGATTTGTCTGCTGATTCTATTGATACGACCACGTGCTACGGTGCGCGACATACGGAGCAACGCAGTGTTTCAGGGTTTAATTCAGAGGAATTCGCCCTCTTAAAGTACTGATAAGATGCGTGCCCAGACCTTGGCGAAATTGAGGTTTCGCTAGCGTTAGCGAATGCTTGAATGGGTTGTAGCGCACGACGACCACGGGTCGCTATCGAATCGCTCTATTCAAACTTGATATCGGCGTCAAAGACTTCAGAGGGAAAATCATGCTGAAGATGAGGTGGATAATTTCTGTGTTAACAGTAGTGATAATCGGAATGTTCTACGTGGGCTATGGTAATAAAGATGATGAGTGAAAGTACAATCGATGGTAACTCTCCCACAACTGCTAAAAATTTTGGTGTGATCACAATTGTGCACAAATTTTGATGCTTGTCGGCATTATTTAAAGCTAAGGTAGGGTTAAAGCCTCGTTTTGAATCAGGTGCACTGTCAAGGAAAGATAGGGGTGTGACGCGGGAGAACCTTCAAATGGAAATTTTGGCTGACCTGTTGACGGATTTGATTTCATGATTGCCGCGTAAGAGAAATATTTGGCGAGGAAACTGTATCTGTAGAGCAAGCACTAGAACTAAGACTTCCAGAGAATTCCTGCAAGAAAATATCGGTTTTTTTAAGGGGAAGACAAAAGATTTCAGGTGCTTCCTTGGTCTAGCACACCGCATTAAAACAGAAAGATTACCGTCCACGATCCACGTAGTCTCCAAGGAAGAGATAACGGGTTTCAAACGGCCATCCACCTTGATGCTGGGAAACGATTTATTTACAAGAGGAGCGCGTGACCGTAGCCAGGGAGAAAAGATGGCTAGCGGTATTTCATTAGTTTCATGCTGGACGGAACGAGAGCTACAGAGCAATCACTGGCGATGGTTGGAAAGCAAAGAAAGAAAACAAATTGATACGCCATTGTCGGGAAGACGTCGAAAGGCATCCTTTTATCAACTTCGCCACAACCCATACGTCAGTCAGAAAACGTCGTTGAGAACTTAAAGACACTGCCCACGATGTGTTTGTGGGGATCAATCTCTTATGTTTAGACGAAAAAGTAGAAATAGGAACTGTACGGCTCGGTAGGATGGGCTACATGTGTTCGTCACGCCGGTTCCAAGACGTTGTTAATTAGAGGCGCCAACGGCCTTGCAGCGTCCGGCTTCGACACTTCCTCTTTTTCCGCTCATATGCAGTGGCGAATGTCTTCGTCCTCTAAGCCCTGTGTCTTTAACGGCTGTAATTTTTTTCTCTTTCCTCCGCGACTCGAGTGTCTCAGAGGGCAGAGCACTAACCAGAGCCAACTCGGCAAAAATGAGGAATCTACATCGACACGACTTCTTTCCCCCAAAAAACTTTTCTTCACTGCCGGCCCATTTCGCAACTCTGTTTAAATATTCGTTTTCAGAAACCATACCATATCAATAGACAGAGCTGCCTTTTAGGTTTTCCTTGTGTCCTATCTTTCCTATACACACACGTGCAGAAAGGAGTTTGAGTTCCAAACTACACCAATGGGATACTCAGGGACGCGATGGTTGCTGCAAAGATCGGCGGACCCGTCACTCAAAATTTTCTGATAGCCGGTGGACCGATGAGTGGACCGAGGTCCGCCCGAATCGCAGACTTTCAGCGAAGAATTTATTAGCAACACTAGAGTAAGGAGGTTCCTGAAAATTTTGCCGAGACAGGACCGAATGATGCTTTCAATTGCCCCCACACTGGTTGGCGCAAATCTACTAAGCAATAGTAATGTTCTACTAGTTGATCCTGTTTCCACGCACACCGAACTTGTGGCGGCTGCCCTTTCCAATTTTGTGTATCATTGTAAACGATTAATTGATCACGGTAGGTAAAGTACTAAATAATCTCCTTCAAATATACCTCGAATATAGAAAGTAAATCGCCATATTGTCCATGTATGTCACCGACAATTACAATTGGAGCAGAAATTTCGAGTAAGGAAGGTTGGCGCTCCAGAGAAACCTCAAAGCAAAAAAGGCAGTGGATGGGCGTTCAGGCTAGGGGCCTCGATCTTTGGTTAAGCATCAACCAATGGAGAAGTTTTTGTTATCAAAAAAATTGTTAGTCTTTGTCTGAAAGCACATTCGGCGATAATTCCAGTAGGCAAAGCTTTTTCGGCAAATGTGGATGGGCTGACTGTCCGCAGAAAAAGTGGCACTTTCCCAATTGAAAATGCTTGACAAGGGCGCTAAGAAGTTAAGGCGTAGCCAGGATCAACCGTTACGTTCGCACTTTTCCAAAAATTTTGCGACCCTCCCTTATTTTAAGTTGGCCTCAGTGAGACCCCGACCATCATCATCCATCAGTTCTGAGAGGCTCCAACCGAACCCCTCCTCCACCCTGATCACCACCCTCTGCAGCATGACGTTCCTATAGCATTTGACTCTGAGAACCACAGTCCAACTCTGCCTACTTTTTTCTCAAAACAAGCCGTCGAGAGGGGCGAGAGAGCGGCGGGGTGTAGATTGGTATCATGGAGCGAAATCACGTTCTACCTTTCTTGAAAAAATTCGCAAATCCATCAGGAAAAATCCCTTAATTCACCATGCTACCACGCTTTTTCACAACCCCTTTCACTATTTTCCTTCTCAATGTGTTCACCGTTTTCAACATGCCCAAATTCCAAATGCCAAACACCCCCCGCGCTGCTCTCCAGAATCAAAAAGCGACCACCTTCCTTTGAATAGTGCGAATGGCGTGTTAGCCCGCTCCTGCTGGCGACTGAGGCATCAAGACCATGCACCCATGTCCGTTGGGGAGGCTGCTGTCTCGCTCGTTTTGCTATAGCTATTTCAGCTTGCCGCTCTGTGCTCTCAACCCTCATGAAACAGGGTGATAAGCGGCACGTGGTGGCGTCCCTGGTTGCGCAGGTTTCGAGATGAAACGGGGCCCTTGAATAGAGGCTCCCCTATGTTAATTTTGGCTTGATTATAGTGGTAAATCAATGAGACAGTACTGCCTCACATTTAAACCCTGTCATCGCTGAATGTACCCTTGAAGCTATTTCTTCGATACACTCTTTTTTACCAAGATCTAAATTTTTAATCGAATACGAGAGGAATAGAAGAAGAAATAAACAAAAACCTCTGCTCTATGAAACAGTTCGAATAGAAACGAAGACGAGTAGTTGTGTTCGACGGCACCGCGAGCGAAGTGATCACGAATTACTTGGTTCAAGTTCATATGTCACTGTAAAATGAAGTGGCTTCCTTAAAAGCACAATCCAGGCAGAAGGTCCGTGTGAACACTGTCCTTGAGGGGAGGGGCGGCGGGGGGTATGTACTTTGAACCCCCAAAGAACGATCACAAATGTGGCATTCCCGTGCACGGGAAACAACCGACAAGGGCGCTTGAGCCTTGCAAAGTAGGCTGCCCAAGCTGGCAAATTTTTTGTCTCGTTATGAGGGCTGTTGTCCGCGCTAGCCTCTTCATCTCATCTGTGACGCTCCCTCGCCTCATACTCTCCTCTCCGCGCTTAGTCTCTCATTCCCTTAGCACAGCCGATTAGGAAGGTGAGTGAGCTCTTAACCTAAGCGTTTTTGACGGATTCTTTTCCTTTTTTCTTTACTGCCGGCCCACTTTTCGCACCAATACATTCGCATTCGTACATGGTGCAAGAGCCAACCAGTGTGATCCTGGGGCATGCCTTTAATGGCAACAATCGATTGTCATAGTATTTGCTGCGGTCGACACTCCCCAACTCCCTTGTAGTAGAATTAGGCTCATCTACCATGATGAGCAGTAAGACGCGTGTTCATTGGGTGTACAGCCAGAAATTGGTTATCTGCGACAAATTGCGTGTCGTACTCGAGGAGGACTGTCCATACAATCTCATCGTTACTCTAAGTCTTTGGGATGGGGAAAAAAAAAGGAGGAAGACATGATGGTTGGCAGTGTGAGTATCAGACGGCTTACTCTTCTCTGCCGCTTGGGCCTAGTCGCCTTTGCAGGCAGACAATTGTTTTAACTAATAGGGACGTGGTGCCCTGTCGCGGAGACTGAAAAGACAAGGCCGCGTTCATAGTTCGCGACTCAGGAGATTAGGATAGTACGCGACAATGAAAAACACATGTATTGACGGTGAGGTTAGGATAGTAGTAGATTGGGATAGTAGTAGAGTAGGAGATTAGGATAGTAGTAGATTAGGATAGTGCGCTGACAAGATTAGATATGTATTGATCTATTCGCTTGAAGTCGCCCAATCTACTACTCTCCAGCGATTTCAATCGATACGTATCCAATCTTGTCAGCGCAATCTCCTACTCTACTACTATCCTAATATCCTGTCGCCTACTATCCTAATCTCCCGAGTCGCGAACTATGAACGAGGCCTTAAGGGATATCATTCCGAATCGAGCATCGAATCAGTGCTGAAGGAACTGAGCTTAGGGCGGCTCGCATAAGGGCAAAAAAATCACGCGCGTTTGACTGCGCGCGTGTGAGACGGTCTTACTTTATACCCAATCATTGAGGTTCACAAAAGGTGTCGCTGATACTGGGAGCACTGGAGCAAGTCGTCTCACACGGCTGCCTACCATTCGAAGAAAGTTTCTTGACTAACCACTCCTTGCTTAGAAAGCGGTCGGCGTGGCATATGTGATACCGTATCGATCCTATGTACGACAAATCAATGCTCATTTCAAAGTGAACGCGCCCTCAGAACGGTGAGATTATTCTTCCTTGTTAGAATGCGTAACGTTGTCGTGAACAACACCACCTAGTATGCTGACACAGCTTGCGGTTATCTCAATTCTGTGAGTACCCGCTATCCCTCACTTACTGCTGCACGCTACTTGACATCATTCACTCACGTAGAGTAGCGAGTAAGCGATAATGGCAGAGGAGACCAAACATTGGTTTGTTGCTCCGCCCATTGGCGATCGCCCAAATCCCTACTCGCCTAGTTCTCCTACTCGCCTAGTCGCCTATAGATAGGTAGCTCTTTCCTTTTAGATTCGCTAATCGCCTAATCGCACGTACGATCGCCAACTATGAACACTCTATTAGCGATGAAGGCGGCAGCACCGATGAGACATCAAGGCGGAAAACAATGGGCAGAAAAAGGGTCCCAATTCTCCGGTCCTAGGCCATCTCTTCTGATATTTTCTCCATCTGCACTATTGGCCACTTCTGCCTCCTTTTAAGGGGCAGCATTTCGTCGCAAATTCCGCCTCTGACACATGCTGAATGAAAATACTTCAAACACCTTGGAGTGCATGGGTAACACTGACTGACACATGCTTTTCAGGGATGAGGCTGTTCCGTAACCCACGAAGTAAGTCGAACATACCTATTCTAATGGATTAGATGTAAGGAAACAGCTGTTGTGAGAAGACAAACGTATGCAATGGTTCCTACTCCCTCTCATTCATGCAAATAACTTATCTTACTTTATCACTGTAGCATCATGACTTCCAGATCAACTATCAAATGCGCACTCATATCCTTGCAGCAATGCGAGCAATGGGCAGTGATGCCCTACTGGGTAGGTACGTTACTTTGTAAACTGCGGTTGAGTAAGGTTTCCTACAGTCGCGCTTGCTGTTGTTCTTCCGCGTGGAAATTTCACGCTTCACGACGGCTCTTCCTCGTCGCCCCGCGGCCGGGCTCCGCTCCTCCGTTCGTGGTGGCATTACAGTCGGCGCCTTGTCGGTTTTGAGCGAAGCTACGGGTGAATGCTGTCGGCGCTCTCCGCTTCCTTTGAAAGGGAAGAAGTGCCGTCAGCATTCGCTAGTAGCTTCACCCGAATCTGACAAGGCGCCAATCGTTGACACTTGCACTGCGACCGCGACGGTAGGCGCGATAGAGCCTAGCCGCCGTGCTACAAGGATTATCGCGGCTGAGCTCTATAGCCCCATACGCGGCATACGGCTCCGTCCGCTCGGAGCGCTAGTAAGTTACGTCCGCTATTCCCGATTGGCGCTCGGTTGCAGGCGACTTCTGGAAAGTCGGTAGAGTGCTTTCTTTCCGCTTGCTCCTCACCGCTACTCTACGACTCCACTAGCGTGAAATTGGCATTTCCAAGCCCGACGGAATAATTTTGTACGATGTCAAGGAAATCATCGCAATCACTCATTAGTCCATCTAGTGTGCCGTGCTGTTCTATACTTTAGGCTGGCTTAGGAAGCACAGTACTGGGCCCAATAAAGCACAGTAGGTAGCTCATCTGCTGCAGTTGTTATGGGATTTTTTTGCGACGAGGCCACTGGACTGTAAAGATCTTAGTAGCTAGCTCACGCTCTTTCGAATTGTGTTCATTCGCCTACCTCGCATATCTCCCGTTTGATCGTTAGAAGCTTTAACAGGCGCCGTTCCCAAACCGTCTGCGCTCTAGCCTTCTTCGAAAAGAACTTGGAGGCCAGATTCTCTGTCAACTGGGTCCAGGGTGCATAATAACGGTCGAGGAATTCCTCGACCATGGCTCTGTACTGTGCGAGAGTAGTGCCGAGAGTGAACGTACGCGCGGAGAGCACAGACGGCTCGCGCATGGCGAGTGTGAATGTCCGCGCGGGAGAGCGTAACTGATCAGGCAAAAATCCTCGACGTGCCGTTGAGGAATCCTCGACCGATATTCACCCTGACTGTGTCTGCACCGAAGACATTCAAGAGCGCCTCAACAAATAGGATTTCTTCTGTACTGGCATTATATATGTTATTCTTTATTCAGCTATGGCGCGTCATCTACATATGAACAATTGGTTAGCCAGATTTTTTTAGGAGACGGACTTCCACTTGTATTTGTGAAGGCTGTGCATCGCCTGGTCCGCCTGAGACTGAGAGGCTAGCGATGCTTTCCTTCATGATGGCAGTTCTTTTCTATATACTTTTGTTAAGGACATTTTAGAGAGACTAAGATTTTCCAGGCAGAGCGAGTTAGAAGCCATCGGGGCTTGTTTTTTCGAGTGATGCAATGGCGCCTTATACCGGGCCAATCATACCTCACTCGAGCAAACCAGGTTTTCCTTCCCTCTGCAATTGGATGATTGTTTCTAGGCTTGTTTATGAGGATAAAAACCTTGAAAATTGCATTGCAAAGTCATTTTTTGCAGACCGCCGTACACGCCCCAACCGTAAATTGGACGTCGTAATACTGGCGTAATCTCAGAAAGGCTCTGAATGACGTATGCCTCAGTTTTTTTCATATTTTCTGACCGGCTGTTATCAAATCACAAAAAGTATTTTTTATGAGAGCGAAAGAAATAAATACAATTCGTTGAAATGAATCCTCCGACAACAACATAGGGACACAATAAAAAGTAACACTCTGAGATAATTTTCTGAACATAACCTCGAATCACGGGCTTGCAAAATAATGTCGCATATGTTCCGCTCGCTACTCGTTTGTGATTGGTGGGTTCGCGCCCAGGCGGCGTCCACCAATCGCGGACGAGTGGGCGTGTCGGCAACACCTGCTCCGAGCACTGCCACTTCGATATTTTTAGGATATTTTCATTGGTGCGGAGAATAGCTGTCTGATAACGAGAAAATGTTGCAGCCGCAGCTCCTTATGATGAGGGCCTGTGTAAAACTCTTTTCACACCAATATGATTATTTTTTCGGAGTTTTGTCTAACAAGTTCATCTGAGCCGTTCTGTGGTGCAGCTACCGACGACCTTTGTTCTGTACCAATGAAGAAAGCTCGATTACCGAAAAGGCTTCAGTGACGGTACAATGGCTGACATGATTGGAGCAGCCATCAGTGGAGAACGAGCGTCCATTCGTGGGGAGTACAGTTCGAGCAGGTCCTGCATTAGCATAGTTCATCTGTGGACTGATCATTGACGATGCCGCTCGAAGATACAGAGGAACGGGGTTTTGAGCTGCAGCGAATAAAGCTTGAAAGTACGGGGAATGCTGCTTGAAGGCCCTCGAATACCTCGTTGAGCCGAGCTTCTTATGATGACAGCCAGGATAAGACACGAATCTGAAAAATTTTCCATAAGCATCGCATAGAACAACAACTAAGTATAAGAATATAGTCACTTAGTGTCCAAACCACTCACATTTTTGTCATCAGGGATCGGAGCCAGCCAAATGACCACTGCGACCAGATGTTGGCACTTATATTCCGTTGTCAGGAGCAAGTTTCTGCACCGTTGAAGTGTGTGCTGCGCCCTTTGTCGAGCATGAGTCGCACGCTCCACTTTTCACAGAACCATTAGCGGCACCCATCTCCAAAAGTG